CCCCATGAACAAAAGGCCTGAAGACCCTTTTACAGCTATAGACATTTATCAAAGCTCATAGAGTTTTCGGAGGCATGTTGTTTAGGAAGAAGAGAATGCCACTTCTGCTTCCAAGACTCATAGCAGCCCTACGGAAAGACTAGAACTGCCCATAGAATTGTGAAGGCTGTAAATCTACATGGAAGCAGACTATATTCTCTTTCTGCTGAGAATTTTTTTTTTTTCTCTTTTGGTTCTTCTTGTTGCTGCTGTTAGGTGCCATGGAGTCTAGTATAACCCATAGATAGCTACCCTAAAAATGCAGATATGAATCCCGTCCTATCTTGTGCCATCCTCACATTTCCTAACACAATATTGCCAATTGCAGCAGTCAAGGTGTCAATCTTTCTGGTTGAGCATCTGCCCCTCCTTCACTGACAGCCACCCCCCCCCCTTCGCCTTTCCAAGAATGACGTCCCTCTCCTAGGAATTGCTTCTCCTAGCAATATGCCCGAAGTACATGAGCAGAAGCTTTGCCTCCAAGGAACACTCCGGCTGCACGTTCTCCAAGATTTATTTGTTCATTCTTCTGGGATTCCATGGCATGCTCAATTCTCTTCTTCGCCAACACAGATCACAGGCATCAGTTCTTCTTCTATCATCATTATTCATTGCCCAGCTCTCAGATGCATAACAAGTGATCAGGAAGACTATGGCCTGAATCATAAACACCTTTGTCCTCAAACTGATATCATTGCTCTTCAATAATTTGGAGAGGCCCCTGACTGCAGGCTCTCCCAGGTTGGTATATTTGACTCAAATAAGAAACTTAGGAGACAATGAGCTTATGTTAATAAAGACAATTCAGAAAAGGAGAGTGATAATGGTTGTACTACTTGAAGAATGTAAACAATGTCACTAAATTGTATACACAGTATTTGTTGAACTGGCTCATGTGCACAGTCTCAAAAATATAAAAAATCCCATAAAATTAATAATAAAAACTAAAAGGAAACCCTGATGTCCCCTCACTTATACTACATGTATACTACTTGATATGGGTGCTTCAAAAGTGCTGTTGTTGTTAGATGCCCTCAAGTTGAACATGACCTATGCCGACCATTTGAACAACAGATCTGTCCTATCACGTGCCATCCTTACATTTATTGATACACTGAAACCCATTGATGCAGTCACTATGTCAGTTAACCTGGCTGAGGGTCTTCTTGTCCTTTGCCAAACCTATTTTTCCAAGTGTGATGTCGGAACGGTCTCCCCTAGCAATATGCCCAAAGTACATGGGCTGAAACTTTATTATCTTTGCCTTCAAGGAGCACTCTGACTGCACTTTCTCAAAAACATATTTGTTTGCTCTTTTGACAGTCCATGAGATGTTCAGTATTCTCCCACACCACAGCTAAAAGGCATCAATTCTTCTTCTGACATCCTTATTCATTGTCTAGCTCTCAGACAGAAATACCTGAATCAGGACTATTTTAGTCCTCCAACTACTAACATCATTACTTCTCAATAATTTGAAGAGGTGCCTGACCACATATTTCCTGACTGCTGGATATAAGTAAGATGAAATTGTTAACAGTGTGAATCTTTTCACCATCTATCATGATGTTGCCTAAAGGTCCAGTAGTAAAAATTTTTATTTTCTTGATATTGAGACAGAACACATATTGTATTATTTGATCTTCTACAAGAAGTGCTTAAAATCATCCTCATTTTTTTACAAAGTGGTGTCATCTGCATAATGCCGGTTACTGATGGGTATTCCTCCAATCTTAATGCCGTATCCTTCTTTATAGAGTTCAGCTTCTTGAATAATGTGCTCAGCATACAGATTGAACAGATTTGGAAAGAGAATACAACCCTGATGGGCTCCATTCTTAATTTTAAAGCACAGAGTGTTCACTTACTCTGTTGTCTCCACAGCCTCTTGGTAGGTTTCGCATGAACACAATTAATTGCTCTGAAATTCTCATTCTTCTCAATGTTAGCCATAACAGTTTATGATTCACACAGTCAAATGCCTCTGCATAGTCAATAAAGCATAACTAGACATTCTTCTAGTATTTCTGCCAGGATACATCTGACATCAGCAATGATATCTCTGATGTCACAGCCTCTTCTAAATCCTAATGAACTTCTGGCATTTCCCTATCTACGAACCAATTTAGCTGTTTTTGAATGATCTTCAGCAGGGTTTTGCTTGCATTTGATATTAATGATACTGTTCAATAGTTTCCACGTTCTGTTGAATCACCTTTCTTGGGAATGGGAACTAATATGGACCTCTTTCAATATGTTGAAAGGATAGCCAGACAGCTGTTCTTTAAATTTCCTAACATAGACTGGTAAACACATCCAGGGCTGTACTTGTTAAATGAAGCACGTCAATTGGTATTCCATCTATTGCTGGGGCCTTAGTTTTTGCAGATGCCTTCAGAGCAGCCTCCAATTCCTCCTTCATTGCCACTGACTTCTCATATGGTACTTCCTGAATTTCTTCAGTGTCAGTCAGTTCTTTTTGGTACAGTTACTCTGTGTATTCCTTACATCTTGTTTGATACTGTTTCTGGTTAACTGTCAAATTATTTAGTCATTGTGTCACTAGTGCTTCTTGGCCTAAAACAAACGGTAGTGTTTTCAGTACTTTATATGTATGTTAAAGCTAGATAATTAACAAGGAAAACTGAAGAATAATTTAGGTCTTTGAAATACAGTACTGACATAGACTGCTGAATATACCACAGACTGCTACAAAAATGAAGGACTCAGTCTTGGATGAAAGATGATGAGAATTCTCCTCACAAGTGAAGATGGTTAGACTTCATTCTACATACTTAGAATATGTTTTCAAGAGGGACCAATTTCTGGAAATGACATGTTTAGAATAACAGTAGGTCAGCAAAAATAGAAGATGTTCCTCAACAAGATGGACTGAGGTAGTAATTGCACCAATAGGCATAAATCCAGCATTGTGAGCAAAGTGTAAGACTGACAGTGTTTCCCTCAGATGCACATGAGAGCCCTATGAGCTACACCCAAGTTAAAGACACACAAAGGTAACAACTCACACTCACTTACATTTCTTCCACACATGCTCCTGTGTAATCCAAGAACACTGTAAATATAAATTCAGAATTTACAGATTTTTACTGAATTCATTTATTTAAAAAAATACTGACTCATTGAAGAATGGGATTGGTATGAAGAATGGGAATTGGGATTGCATTGAAGGTGTAGATTGCCTTTGGTAGTATTACCATTTTCACAACATTGAGTCTTCCTATCCATGAGCAAGGCATATTATTCCACTTCTCTAGGTCTCTTTTTGTTTCTTGTAGTAATATTTTGTAATTTTCTTTGAATAGATCCTTTGTGCTTCTGGTTAGATATACTCCCAAGTATTTAATCTTGTGATTCGCTATTGTGAAGGGTATTGTTTTTCTTAGCTCTGGCTCTGTATTCTCTTTGTCACTATAGAAAAATCCAACTGATTTTTGTATGTTGATCTTGTATCCTGCTGCTTTGCTGAATTGGTCAACTATGTCCAATAATTTTCTTGCTGAGTCTTTAGGGTTTTCTAAGTATACTATCATATCATCTGCATAGAGAGATAATTTTACCTCCTCTTTGCCAATTTGTATATCTCTTGTTTCCTTCTCTTGTCTTATTGCTATTGCTAAGACTTCCAAAACAATATTGAATAAGAGAGGTGATAGTGGGCATCCTTACCTAGTTCTTGTTCTTAAAGGAATGCCTTTAACCTCTCTCCATTGAGAACAATGTTGGCTCTCAGCAAACAAATGGATAGAGAAGCTGTGGTATATTCACACAATGGAATACTACACTGCATTGAAAAACAAGGAACTCATGCAATAATATTCAAAATGACTGACCTTGGAGGACATTATGCTGAGTGAAATATTTCAGTCACAAAAGGACAAATACTGCATGGTGCCGCTGTTGTAAAACAAGACTGGGGGGAGACTGAGAAAGATGGGATAAATAATGTATAATGCATTGAAACAGATGAGCGAGAAAACTGTTTAAAAGGGATATGTGATTCGAAATTATTGTGATGACAGGAGTCCAGAACGAAGGCTGCATAGTGGAGTGGACCTGAGGGGAGGGATTGTAAAACAATGAAAGAAATTTTCTTTTACTTTTCCAAGAGTGTAGTGTACTGTGGGAGAATGGGTGGGCAGGGAGAAAAAGTGCAACAATACATGAGTGGAAATCCAAAGTGTCAGTAAATTTTCATCAAAATGAATAATAATAAAAAATTTAAAAAATGTTGACTCTATATATGTCAGGATCTGGCAGAGTTTCACGTTGTCCAACATAGAGTTGTTGCCAGTTGGAGCCTACGTGATGGCACTCAACAACAAGAACAATATCTATCATGGACTTCTGTAGATTTTTCTTATACATCAGGGAATGGCCTAATGAAATTATTTTTTTAAAGTTGTTGTTGTTGTTGTTAAGTGCCATGGAGTCATAGATGACTTATAGTGACCCTATGAATGAAAGATCTAAGCACTATTAAAATTTGCTTTTCTCAATGTAGTCTTCCCTAGCCATTTGCCCACTTTGCTTGTTTTATTTCTTTTTAAAACATTGTCTCCACATGGGGAGATCTCTGGCCTAGTCTACAGTGAAATGCGCTATTTACCCAACGGTGGTTCACATTTACCAATAGCTCCACTGGAAAAAGATGGGCAGACTCCTCCAGTGAAATGTAACGCCCAACTAGGGGGTCAGATGTGAGTCTGACTTAATATAATGCATATAATGAGCAAAAACTTGAAGTAAGTAAAGGAAAGAAGCATTATAACTATTAAAGAAATGCGAGTTCAGCAGAGAAGGAACAAGAGTGGATCAACGAAGTTTCTGGACATATTTGTGTTTGAACAATAACAGTAATTACAGTGTGCTCATCAAAACACAATTAGCAAAAGGAAGAATTAGTTAATCATAGTTATCGAGCCAGAACTGACTCCTACCTGACCATCCAATGATTTTTCTGAAGCTGTAAATCCCACAGAAGGAGACTTCCCATGATTCTCTCTCAAAGGCACTGGTAGATTCTGAACCAGCAGAGAGGTGCCACCATGAGGATAGCTGCACAAAGGGAAGAGTAGTGGAAGAAATTAGATAGGAAAAGTAGAAGAAATTAGATAGGAAATAAGGAGTTCTTGTTGGGGCAACATCATGCTGTATATATTAACTTTGACTTCCCTTAGAAGTGAAACAGAAAAATCATTTGCGGGTTTTGAACTGAAATTTTAAATAAGTAATTTTTATCTAATATATTGAGAGTCATTTCAATGAAGAGAAACAGGGAAACTAGTTTTAGTAAATCGCAATAAGACAGACAGTGAGTAGTGTCAGAATGTTTGGGAAGAGAGAGGTTTAGTGGCAAGGAGCTCTATGACCAAACCAAAGGCAGGCAGTTCAAGTACCAGCTGCTCTGTGGAAGAAAGATGGATAATCTCCTTACTTATGATTTACAGTCTATGAAAACTCATGGTCAGCTTTGAGTTAATTATAACTTGACAACAGTAAGTGAATGAGATTTGCGGTATATTTGAAGTTCAAGCAAAATTATTTTCTAGATGACTAGTTGTGAAGTGAGAAAGAAAAAGGCAAGTCTATATTTAACTGAATTTCTGGAAACTCAGAAGGTTGAAACTGGATTCAGAAGAATATGGGAAGGCATTGCTGATATCGAATGGATCCCGACTGAAAGGAGAAAATATAAAAAATCTGTTTACATGTTTTACTGATTATACAAAGACATTCATCTGTGTGGGTCATAATTAATTATAGATAGCATTGAAGAGAATAGAAATCTCAGAACACCTGTGATTCTGCAAAACCATTACATAGACCAAGAAATAGTTATCTGAACAGAACAAAGGAACTTTGTTTAAAATCAGGAAAGGTGTGCATCAAGGTTGTATCCTTTCTCCATTCTTTTTAAATCTGAGTGCTCAGCAAATAATTTGAGAAACCAGACTAAAAGAAGAATGTGACATCAGGATTCAAGAAAGATTCAATTGTCCACACTGCAGGTAGCACAATCTTGGTAACAGAAAGTGAAGACATGAAGCATTTAATGAAGATCCACGACTACAGCCTTCAATAGGAATTGCATTTTAAGACCAAAACCAAAATTCGCCTATTTGGACTAACAGACAGCATCAGCATAGATGAAGAAAATACTGAAATTATCAACTATTTCACTTTACTTGGATCTTAATCATTACTCATAGTGGCAGCAGTCAAGCAAGGAAAATATTTATTGTGTTGGGCAAATCTGTTGTCAAGAACTTGTTTAAAATGTTAAAGAGCAATGATATCCTTTTTTATTAATTTTAATAAACATTTACAGAGACTTTGGATTTCCATTAATTCATTTTTCCATTTTTCTCCCTGCCCACCCCGCCCTCCCAATTTGCTCTTCGCTTTACTTTGAAAAGTAAACGAAGATATCTTTTTAAATACTAAAGTATGCCTGTACCAAACTATAATATATTCAGTTTCTTAATACGCATGTGAAATCTTGACAATGTAAGAGGGATGAAAAAGAATTTGATCTTTGGATTGTGGTATAGAGAAAGTGTACTGAATATCCCATAATGTATGTTGTAGGATTATTAAAAATGGCTTTCCTAGCCATTAGCTTTGACTGTCACTGTAAGACTGAGTGAGCTTGTGATAGGATTTGTCAGTTTTTCTTCTTCCCACCAGTTTAAAATGAGTAGATGTAAGAGCAGAACAGGAAATTTGCCTACCTGCAGGGAGGAAGAAGTAGATTGTATTACACTGCAAAGTGTATTTCCTTTGGAGTCAGAGAATTCTACACCAGTCAAACTATTTCCTTCATGTCAGATTTGTTTGCTCTTTTGGCTGTTGTTACTGTTATGTGCTATCCAATCAGAGCTGACTCATAGCTGACCCTCCAGTGGGTGTCTTATAGGTAGTAAATTACACACAAGGAGATTTTTCATCTTTCTCTCTTGGAAAAGTTACTGGAGTCAGACCTTGTGCTTTTGGATTAGAAGCATAACTCCTTACCATTAATCCACCAGAGCTCCTGTATATTCAATACTCTTCATCAACACCAAAATGTAAAGATTTTTATTCCTTTTCTATCATCCTTATTCTTGTCCAACATTTAGAGGCATAGGAAGCAATTACAGTTATCATGGTTTAGATTAGGTGCACCTTGTGTTTAAATTGACATCCTTCCTCTTTTAGAAACTTGGAGAGTTCCTTGGCAGCAGATTTCACCAGTACAACACATATTTTTGTTGCATGGCTTCTGCTACCATGAAGTTATCTGTGGATCCAAAGAAAATGAAATTGTTGACAATTTCAAGCTTTTCTTCATCAAATAATACTCAGTGGTGTCCCAGAAAAATCATCCACTTATATTCAAATTAGGCTTCGAAGTCATTATTGATTCAACCTTTCTTCTCTTGCCTTATGACTCACAAATTATATCAAGTACATTCTACTTATAAGATGTCTTACTTCCACTTCCTAGTTAACGTCTCCATCATCTTTCATTAAGATTTCCTCAGGCATTTTATCCCTTTCCCCTCCCCACTCCCTGCCACTACTATTGTTTTCTGACTCCCATTCTATCACTCTCTCTTGTCCTCATGTGAGTACCAATTGCAGTGGATTAAGTTCTTACTTATAGTAATCTCATATGTATCTGAGTAGATAGGTATTACAGAGTTATCAGTAATTAACTTTTTCCTGAAATAGATTGTCAGGCTCTTGGTGGACTTGGTTAGAAGGCAAGTATGCTAATAGTTTCACTATTCAGGGACCACTTTCTCAAAGCTATTTCACCATATATTCTCCCTATTAAGTGTCTTTCTTTGATGTCCTTAATGTGCTTAATCCAAGGTTAACATTCTCCAGCAAAAGCCTGTATCTTGCCTTCAGAAGTGTTACTAACAATTATAATGGAGCTCTGGTGGCTTGGCAATAAAGAGTTGAGCTGCCAGCCTAACGGTATATGGCTTGAATTCACTATCAGCTCCATAGAAGAAAAATAGGCAATCACTTCTCATGTGCTTTACAGTCTCTGAAAACCTACTGGAGGGTCAGGTATGCATTGGTTCCAACTTGGCAGCAATGACCACCACCACATGTTGCTTGTGCAATTTTTACATGATTCCTTCTCTAACTGAAAGCCCCTGGGGGTATTTCTTTCCATTTTGCTCACTAAATAGGAGTATATTATATGATTGTTGCATGAATGAACAAATAAATTTTCAAAAGGGAAGGAAGGATAAAAGCATGAGGCACAAAAAAAGAGGAAATTTCCTCATTTTTGAAATTAAGAAATTTTATATAACTCTAAAAACCTAGATTGGCTTTAGATGTTTAGGGGTTTGGGTTGTTCTATTTGTAGGCATCTATACATTCATAATGGAGACAAATTGGAAGGTGTTTTGTTTGGTGTTTTCTTTAAAAAATACTAAGAAGGAATTGGATTACAGTTTCTTTTTTTTCCAAAGAATCTTTGTATACTCTTCACCTCACCAATTTATTTAAACTTTGTTTGATAAACAGGAGTTGATTAATGTTTGAATGATCAAATATTTGAAGAAATCTTATAGAAACAGTATTTTTGGTTTAAGGTGTTGGAAATTCTGGAAAATGGGTCTGAGACATTCCAAATATTTTTTTTATCACCTGATTCCCAATTCATTTCTATTCTGACTTCAATTTATTCATTTCCCCATAAATTTTCACCTTGATATTTTCACTTACTTCTGTTTTCATTTAACTCTTCTCAGTTCAACTCCACCATTCAGAGATATGGAAGAATGATATTATTATATCTGCATTAAAAATTTAGTAAGGTAATTGCCCAAGATCAGATGACAGAGCCAAGAATTGGAAAAAATAAGTGTCTGATTATCATCATACTGTGCCTCCATGTAGTACGTACTAATTTTGCTTCTCATCTATTTAATTAGGGCCTATAGGCCCTATGTTGTTAGGTTCTCTAGACCAATACATGTTTTCATTACGCAACTCACCCTATAAATTAGAATAATTTTTCTTTTTAACTTGTGTCATTTATATGTGATAATATAGCCAAGCCATTAAATGGCAAGATTTCATATCATGACCCAAGTTTACAGACAAACATTGTCATTGTTGTTGTTGTAATGGGCTGTAAAGTAAGTTTGCGACTCTATACACAACAGCCCTGAAACCTGCTCTATCCTGTGCCAAATTTGCTGTCTCTGACACACCTACCCTCATTACCCCAGTCACTGTATCAATCTATCTTACCAATAGTCTCCCTCTCTTTCTCTGTCCCTCCACCCTTCCAAGCATGATCTCCCTCTCCAAGGACCATACCCTCCTTGCAACATGCCCAAAGTATGTCAGAGGATGCCTCAGAACCCTTGCCTTCAAGGAGCAGACTGGCTTCACTCTGTCTAGGAGGAACCTGTTTGTTCTGGCAGTCCATGGTGTATATTCAACACTCTTCTCTAGCACCACTGCTCAAAGACATCAACTCTCTTTCTATCATTCCTAGGCATTGCCCAGCTCTCTGACACATAGCAAGCAATTGCGAAGACTATGGCCTGCATTAGGCGCACCTTCAATGTTATTGCTCTTCAGTACCCTGGAGAGGTCCCTGGCAGCTGACTTTTCTAATGCAATTTGCCTCTTGATTTCCTGGCTGCTGGTACCAAGAGTGTTGATTGTGGAGCCAGCAAACTAAAGCTGTTAATGATCTCAATCTCATCATGATGCTGCCAACTGGCCCAGTGGTGAGAATCATTGTTTTCTTGATGTTGAGTTTCAACTCATATTGAAGACTGCGGGGTCCTTGATCTTCTGCAGCAAGCGCTTCCTTACCTAAAGATGATCAGAGACAACAGCTCCGTTCCTGGGTTTTACAATCGCATTTGGTAGTTTCCATCTTCCCTGGCAGAGAGCGTCAGTCAGTAACCAATACAGGAAAATATGCACTTGGAAATAGTGAGAGGGAGGGTCACTTTTATAGAACTCACACAGAAACAGCAGCACCTATTCAATGACATTTTCTTGCAAAGAAATATCTTCTCCCATGTCTTCAGTATTCCTCTCCTTTCTATGCCAATGGAGCATGTTAGACGTCAGAGGAGTTAAAGTTGCATATTAATTCCACACGAATGCTTAAGTGTGTCACTTATCTCTGTAAGGAATGAGCTGTGCCTTCTCATGCATTGAGGTGCGTGCTTATAGTATTCTAGTGTTAACTTTGGAAACGCTTTTAAAATCTTAAAACGCAAGTAGCAGTTGAAATCTCCGGACCACCGATGTTGGCATCTTCTTGGGGAGCCTCCTCTTCCCTGTCTGTCCCCGGGTGACCTGTCCCTGTTCCTCATGCAACAGTTGGTTGGAGTGGAAGCGCTGCCGCTTTTCACAGGCAGTTCCTGCAAAGAGCTCCCTTTTCAGCGCTCCTCTGGGGTTTTTTGCACTGGAATCAGGCATGCTCAGTAGCCAAAACAGTTTGGGGTAAAGAAGCAGTAGCTACAGTTTCAAAACACCGACAGGGAATGGCTCCGGACCTTCTCTAGATGGAGCCAGGCGCGGGCCGGCCCCCCCAGTGCGCCGGTGCCTCCCCGGGCGCGGATGTGCGCAGGCGCCGACCGTGAGAACCCGAGCGCAAGGCTCGGAGTGCGGCTTGGACAGCGCGGCGGCGGTGGAGTCGGACAGGCGCTCAGCGCGGGCACCGAGGAGCCTCAGCCGGGAGCCGGCAGCGTTAGAGCACGCGATCACGCACCTTTTCTCCGCTTGCCTGGCTTAAGGGGGTCGGCTACCTTGCCGTGCCACTCGGAACCTGCTGAAATAGTAATGCCTGAGAATGTCAGCTTTGAGAAAGGTAAGAACCGAACACAGCAGGAGGGCCCCACTAAACCAGGGGACAGTGGACGTGGGGAGATATTAAAGGCTAGCCAAGCGCCGTCGAGGCGAGGTTGACAGGGGATGCTTTTCTCTGGAGCGCGGAATCTCTGATACCACTGTCGCCGGTGCCTGGCGACAATCTTGAGCATGTTGGCGAGTTTGTACAGGGAGCTGTGACATTGTTTGGTGTGGCTTGGGGGCAGTAAAGTCTGAAGGACGCGTTTGAAACCCCTCTGATGGGGACGCTTAGATGCGAAGAGGTGGGGGCGGTGTGCAGAGGTTGATGCGGGAGGTAGTGGGCGTCATCTGCCACTTCTGGGGGCGCTGGCACAGGGTGCCGAGCTGCTTTGGGAGCATGCTGTCCACTCTGCCACGCAGGAGCCTTCTAGGGGTGGAGTCGGGCCAGGGAGACCCCTGGGTAGCTCAGCAGCTTGGGTCCATGGATGACATCGGGGAGTGTCTTAGCTGCTCCGGAGAGCCCAGGGCTGCAGGCGCGAGCGCTGCGGGTGTCGGGGATCAGTGGGACCCCGCAAAGCAGCTTGATGGCAAAGAAGAACCTCGGGAGCTCCTGGGGGGTCGAGGGGGATGGAATCCAGCCTCTGGAGCCGAGAGAGGTTCTTCCCCCGTATCAGGGGCAGCTTAGGGAGACTTGATAGGGTTGCGCACTAGCTGGTGGTGGTCCGAGGGTCTTCTTTACTCTTAGACTCCGGGGGAGCGGGACTCACGGAGCCAGATGCTTCCCCAAGGTGTGAAATTCCTTGCTGTGGCCCCGAGGGTCGGGAGGAACTGGGAGCGAGAAGCTAGTGGGAAAGCGCAGCCCAAGGAGCAGCTGGTGAGTCAGGGGGTCTTCGGACGTGGCACCTATGAGGATAGCTGCAAGGGAAATGGGGCGGCTGTGAGCAAACTGCATTTAGAAAGAGGGGTAAAAAAAATCCCACAGCCCCAACAGACCTCAAGCCCTCATCCCAGAGAGTGCTGAGGTGGGCAAACGCCGAGGGGGATTGCGATTGAAGGAAACGTGCCGGTGAGCCCAGCTGCGCGTGTGGTCGCGGTGGGGCGGAGGGGGAGGGGGTGGCAGGAGGCAGTTTCTACTGGTGGCAGCGGTGGTCGCGAAGAGCCGGGAGGGGGACCCGAGGGGTACGCGGGTGTCGGCGCGTGAGTGCGCGCCTGGAGGGGGTGGCAGTCGCCCCGCTTTCCAAGTGTGAGCGAAGAGCACGGGGGCTTTTTTTAAGGGTGGTTGCTATGCGAGGCGCTACCCAGCGCCGGATTTTGTAACTAAGCCTCCCCCGGCAGCGGCTGTTGCTGTTCTCCGGCTTGTTCGCTAACGATTGCTGGGGAAATAATGAGGATGTAATTATTACAACCCTAGCGCAGTGAGGGGGTGGGGGGCGGAAGGGATGGTCCCTTTTGCCTATCGCAGGGCAGGTGTGCCTGGTCTGGGGTGGGGGCTCCTCTGTGTCCCTCTGTCCCTTCCCCACCCCCTTGCACGGGATGTTGTTCTGTGTTACAAGGTTTCCTAGCAAAGCTGGACCTGGGCAATCTGCAGGTGGGGGTGGGGCGGACTCTTGGGAGAAATAGTTAGGAGAGGTGAGGAGGGGTAGGAAAGAGGGGAGATTTGGATCGATCACAAGAGGTTTGCAGGTAGAACGTAGGATCAAGAATGCGGTCAAAGTGGGGACACGAGAACGTGCTGGCTGGCTTATTTGCTATCTAACACTGAAGAGCATCTCTTCCCTTGGCTCTTCTACACTTCTGAAGTAATTTTATTCCTGCTGCCTGTGTTGCTTCTCACCTGAATGGCGATTTAGGCAAAGGCTAGGAGTTTTGAATTCATGACTTGTCAATGGCTTCTGTCTTGTGCTGATTCAAAAGAAAGTATTGGCAGTGAATTCTTCCTCTGTTTATTAGCTGACAGCACGGACTCTGGGTGGTTTCAGAGCTCGAACTGTAAAGCACAACTGCTTTATCTGTCATCTCAGGACTTAAAGACAGAAGAGACCTCAGACTAGGTATTTAAGAAATGGACTTCCTTGAGGAAATACACCCTTGGTAGCTTTGGATTTTAACCAGCTTCCATGATGTTAGGGAAGAGTGTATCTGATTGAATCTAGTCGTCTGTGACTTAAAGAAGATTTTATTTGTATATGAGCCCTTGTGTTACGGCGCTTCATCAGTGTGCTGCTGACGAAATTGGGGGTTCAAATCTATCAGCTGGCTCTGTGAGGAAAGAAGACCTGTCCATCTGCTCCTAAGGTTTCAGCCCCCAAAACAAAAAGGACCATGGACAGTCCTTATAAGTAGGAATTTATTCGAAAGCACACAGTTACAACCTGTTTTTAGATGCTAATTCTATTTGTTAGAAAATACTGGCGACCAAGTGCTTAGGAGTTGTGCTGTGAGTTGTACTGTCAACCAGAAATCATGGGGTTCGAATCCATCAGCTGACATGCGGGAGAAAAATGGGCAATCTCCTCCGGTGTCTTTTCTAACTTCTGAAAACTTGCTGGTGGGTCAGTTATGAATTGGTTCCCACTGCAGCACATGCAACAATAACAACAACAAAAACAACGATTGTGTTTGTAATCAGGATATAACTTGATGTCAATATAGTCTAGAGGAATGCACATACTCTATGGAAAAAAACAAACCACAACAACAAAAAACTCCATTCTCTTTTGACATGTCTCAAAGGTGACATAACAAACTATTTAGCTGTCCTAGGAAAGAACAGCATTTAGATATGAGGTTAATGTGCACTACAACACAGTTTTCATTTTACTTCCTTCACATTCTCTGAGAAAGGTAATGGGTAACCAAGGCAAAAATGGTGAGAAATGGTGGGGAAAAAAATGGTAATTTTGGCAGGTCATGGTTTTTTTAAAAAAAATATCATTAATCAGGGTTTTCCAGTAGCCAAATTGTCTTGTGCAGACGGCTGGGTGACTCACAGCTTTGGCACTAATAGTAATTGTAGAGTGTGTGTACCATTTCCTTTTAGATGGTGTGGGTTTTTTTTTTTTTTGTTTTTTTTTTATTGCTTGGAAGAGAACAAATTAGAATACTTTATACCCCACATCTGGCAACATGACTAGGCGACTATAGGGAATACTGTCTGTTCACTCACATCTGGGCTGTGAAAATTATGGACCTAATGAGGGAGAATGGTTAGACGATAGTCCTGTCCTAAAGCACATTATCTTCTTCCACCATAACTTTGGAAATCATAATCAAATGTCTTGAGCTTAATAAAGTAGGATTTATTCCACAATGATAACCTGTCAAGAGAGTCATATTTTAAGTCTGTAAACCATTCCTGCCCCCTCATGAACTTTCCTTCGTATTTTTCTCTGTTCTTAGTTAAGAAGTCAGTAATTATTGAATGACTCTATTAATCTAATCTGCAAAATTTGTATATTATACTTTAGGTTAAAGGTAAACTTAGTAAGCCAAATAAGTTCTACAGGAAACATTTTCAAAGTTTTTGTCATTGTTGTGTACCTTAGTGAACCGACCCATAGCTGACCCTCCAGAGCGTTTTCAGAGGCAGTTAATTGCATGGGTGGAGATTGCCCTTTCTTCTTCCCTACATCAGGGGGTGGCCTAGAATCATGTGCATCTGGGAATGCAGTGCAGCTTCTTGCCACTAGGATACCAGAGACCCGGGTTTTAAAGTTGTTGTTGTTGTTGTTGATTGCCTTTGAGTCAAACACAACTCATAGCGACCAGATGAAAAAAAGCCTTGAAGACCCTCTACAGCTATTGACATTTATCAAAGTTCATAGAGTTTCTGGAGGCATGTTATTTAGGAAGTGGAGGCCACTAATGAACTAACTAAAACTTTATCATAACAAAGATGTGTTCTCAGGTAAGCATTCAAAATTAACTTTTCATACTGTTAAACATATTTTTTCCTTCAAAACTTTGTGTAGTGTATTTGCCCCGAGTGCTGCTGCTTAAGACAGAAATAAACATTTAAATACCAATATTTCTTGTGTGCCTTATATTACTTGTGAACGAGATGGATTATTAACAGTATTTCTTTCTTATTTTTTTATTACATTGCTTTATTTCTCCCCAGTAACATACACATTTTCTATTGCAATCTATTGCTTCTCTTTTTTTGTGCCTTTTATTTTGAAATTGTCAATAAGTCCAAATCAAGCATTAAAAGTAAAAATACTACATTAAATTTAAATTATATTTCATATCACGAATCCAGAATCCTACCAATTCTAAAACGAAATAATTCTAACATTTTTAATAGTAAATTTTTACTTCTGTTTTTAACAGATTGTGATGTGTAATATACTGATATGATAAGTATATGTGAAAAAAAACCCTTTACTCTCTCTTAAGTGTACAAAGAATTTAATGATGCATACCTTGGTTATGGATTTTAAAAAGAAATTAATTACATGTGTTATTTATTGACTCATTAAATGAATATGCTATATTTTTTCATCAATTGTAATAAAAATAACTATGATTCATCAATTTGGCCAAATTATTGTCATATTTAGAATATTGCTGGGATGTTGCTTATAAATAGATGTGTTTGCTGTTTCTGTTCGGTGCCTTTGAATTGA